GTAGATACGAAAAAAATGAAAAAAAGGCCGAATGACTATTTCTGCTTCCATGCAAATGTACGTCGGTGGCACAGCGGTTAGGACTCTCGCTGATCATGCACATGATCCCGGGTTCGATCCTATGCCGACGCACACCTGATATCTATGGTCGGCCTGCAAAATTTGGGCTACCGATATCCATGCTGAAAATTCCATACTTGTACCAAAAATACAGTGTGGAATCAAGGTGTAATCAAAAAAACAACCTAAAAGCCGAATGTGTTACTGACAGAAATTTTGTAGACTGTATGTGGTATTTAGAAATCACATATATTTTGGTTAAGTACCTACCTTTGCTTGATAGTGTTCAGTTTATAGAAATTTTGGGAGAATTAGCTTCTTCTTTATTAATTTTAAACAACAGTAGACTTCACTTCACAATCACCTTTAATGACATTCAGGATAATATATGAATAAGTACGCAACATCTCCGAGGAAACCTTCACGGAGAAACACTGGACATCACAGGCAAGTAATTCAGCGAATTCATCTTTACTCATTTTGTTTGAAATATTTATATTATTATTACTACTATTGACGAATTCACCTTGTAAGGAATTTTTTCTGTCTGCAGTAAAGATAACGTTTCACTTCTCAAAACTGAATAGAATTTTATTAGAAATTATTCCCAATCTAGACTTCCACTTTTTTTACAATTTTGGGTTTGTGTGGATTTTATCACTTTCAAGTCTGATATCATCACAGATCGACATAAGATAGTAATTTCCGCGTGGTCTGTGAACATTTGAAAACGTTCAGCCGCCACTCTATAATAAGTTAGACTTAGAAATGTCAATGAGATACTCACTGGCGACTGGCCCTATTCAGGTAGGTAGTTACCCGGGTTCCAGTGGGAAGTCGTGACCAGTAGGGTGCAGCGGGTCGGGTGTGAGGACAAATACTCGCCGAGGACATTGGCTAGCGGTCGCGCTATGTCGTGAATTGGTAGAAGTTAGAATTCATGGGCGGCCATTGGATCGGGTCCCAGTGGCTTAATGGTATACGAGCTCGCCTTGTAACCGGAAGGTCCTGGGTTCGAATCCCGGTGGGCGCGTGCTGCTGAAGAGTTCCAAACTAGGACGAAGCAGCTGCCCAGTACTCCCAGGTTTTCCAATGGTTCTCTAACTAATGTCAGCTCATGATGAAATCCTGAGATGTCAGATTATAAGATAAGTCAGTGGTATGATATAGCACCATTGTTATCCGATGGCAAGGGTGGCTACTGTCACTGGAGGCCTGCTTAAATCACAGGGCTTACACTCTTCTGCACTTCTTATTGTTTTAATCGTGCAGTCATATCAAATGATCAATACATACATAATCTCGCGCGCATATTTAATTAGTTTCCCACTGTACTCTATACACTTCTTGAAAGAACTGAAGAAAAAGTATACAGAATTGGTTTTCTCTTCATATACAACAACAACAGTACGACAAATGATGTACTTCAGATACTGGCTTTACAGGTAAATTCTGTGTGAAAAGGAAACATTTTCGAACTAAATGCGTTGAAAATTTCTATAATGTATGTTCACATACTGTGTGAAATAAAGCTTTGTTATTATTATTTTTATTATTATTAACCGTCTTTCCTTCCAACTTCTCCAATCGAAATTATTACAGCCGTTTGATAGATCACCGGGAAAATGCATCAGGAGTATATGACTGGTTAAAGATTTTCAACTGTTACTTCTCTGATGATTAGAATTTTTTTTCAAAGAGAATATAAATGGGGGGAAGGGTAGAATAATTTTATTTGATACAAATCACACAGTGATAAAGTATTATTTGCTGATGACTTTTCAAGCACTACTTATTGCTCGTAATCTTTTCAGAGCATCATTTGATACAGTTGGGAGTAAACTGTACCTAAGAAGTCATCAGTAAATGACACAGCAATACTGTGGGGTTTTTATACATTAGAACTGTTCTATGACGCAATTATAATATACCACAGTGCCCCAATTCTGTCCTTACATCAATGAAATTTATGGTCTTATCAACGACTTTGTCAGACTGAAGCATGATTCGAAAACCATTGTACATTCAAAAAACGATGCTTGACAAATCATACAATTCGTGCCTAGAAATGAATATGATCAGTAAATTATCCTCGGGAATGTCGTCAGAAAATACTACTGTTTTACTGGGGGATTTTTATACAGTAAAGTAATTCCATGATAAATTATTTCCTTCATCGTTTCAGTTATGAGTTTTAGACATAATGGAAAAGATTTATAGTTCAGGTGGATGATTTTATTGTAGTTGTGTTCCTTAAGTTGGATGGGTTAGTTGCGAAGCTTCCATTTTCTTAGCAGGAGATACATAGAAAACAAATGGCTGATCACTTCAAAGGATTCTTAAATCGACCATCACCTTTGCCTCATCCAGAAATACCATCAACAGCAGATACAGGATTGCCAGTGGACACCAATCATCCCACAAAAGCAGAAGTCTTGAATGGCATAAAGTTAATAAAAGTCAGCCAGGATGGTAGCAGAACCGGACAAAATTCTTCTGGAAACATTGGAAACGGATCCAGAGATTGCTGTGGATAGACTGACGCCGTTGCTAAAAAATCTTTGAAAGGAAGGAAAGGTTTCTGTGGATTAGGAGAAAGGCTACCTGGTCAAACTACCTAGGAAGGTCGACTTATTCTTCACTGGAATCGGAGAGACAAAATGGAGATGGGGATGTCATTGGGTGACACCACGCACCAGGCGATGGCTGGAGTGGAACCCGAGTGGGGAACGACGAGTTTGGATTGGGATTGAGGTTGAAATGGAGGAGACTGTGTGAGGAGGAGATGAAAGCTTATGGTCAGTCGTGAAGCCATCCAAAAAGAACTGCAGAGAATAGGACAAAATGGGGATGTGTTTTGAGACCCTATATCCCACTAAGAACCTAAGGAAATAATAATAACGAGAATAAGAAAGTGTCAGGTATGAAATCACCTACTTACTACCTAATAATACGTGAAAAGCTGTTTTTCATTCTTCCTCTCACCAGTATATTGTTGTCACTTTTCTTTTTAATTTATAATTTACTTGTACTTTTATGTATTATTGCTAACAGTTTTGCTGTTAATATCACAAAGTTTTGTAATTATGTTTTCCTTTTGCTATGTAATGTGAAGAGTACATCAGATACATTTTATTGAATGCTGGGAGTTCCGCGCTTCATCACAAATACTTTTTGGGACAAAGTCACCAATACTATTATTATTATTACTCAGTTTCGAAGCAATTTTCAGTGGCCGAACAAGTGAAAACCTAGTACTGGTCTCTTCAGGTCCATCAACCAACAACCCTTCTCTAGATTGAACTCAAGACTGTCATTTCTCACAGTGAGTTAACCATTCACCTAGTGAGGTAAGAACTACTGCTACCAACTTTCATCTTCCACAGAAGCCTATGCACTGTCAACGTAAAGACACTAAATGTTTTCTCAACCCGAAAGAGGGCATGTCGAATGGAAGTGGCGCGCAAATATTTTATAACTATTCTGTCAAATCTTGACGACAGTTCATTTGAGTTTTCAGTTCATCCCTACTCAAGTAAAACATTTTATCTTTCACCTACTTTTTGAGAAATTTCTGAATGATTGAAATATTCCTTCAATAACAATAGTATTTACCTATTGACCTACTTCTTTTTTGACAAAACGACTTTTTATGAACACAGGTTTATTGGTTTGCAAACAAGATATATGTAAAATCATACTGTCAGTATGTCTATGGCAGAAAAGTATAAATTAATGATAGGCATCTATTAGTTATTTAAATTCTCATTGGTCAGTTGAGATTTAAGCAAGTATTTATTTGTTGTATTGATCATTGTAAAACCCATTGAATTTTGTGGCTGTCTGGATCACTACTGTCAGTTTATTGGCGTATAATGCAAATGAGAATATGTTATCAACTAACCATTCCACCTGACATTCCACCATTCAATGCGTTCAACTATCTTCTACTCCACGTAAAACTGCCATCAGTTCCTCTAAAGCGTAATTGTTGTTAAGGTGTTTCTATCTAACCCTTGCGTTGCTTTTCTTTTCTGCTTACGCCAACCTTCATCAAACTTGTAAAATTTCACGTGATTGTGAAGTCTATCCTCCGAATCATATTCTGGGGTCGGTTTAATAGAATAAGTCACAAGATCTGGGATCTAGTAACTGTGATTGTGTGTTATAGTGTATGTGAATAACCTCGAAAATAATTAACTTGTTTGTATGCATACTCTTATGTGTGTCTATCTAACAAACACAGAAATTTGATAGGCATATATATATATATATATAATGTATATAAGCATAGTATTATTTAGTACACCGACGAAATACTAAATAATCCACACCTCCAAAATTACAGTACATACACATATTTATATTTCTGCATAAATACTATACATATTAACCAATTAGATACTAGTAAAACCTTGGATTTTTAATTTTTCAAAGCACATGCTAATGATTGTATGAATAGTGAGAATCTTGATGAATGTATCCATTTATCACTATTGTCTACGCATAGTCTGACAGAATTCAAGGTCTCGGTCATTGGAATTATATTTACATATAATATATACATATATATATATATATATTTGCGTGCATAAGTCATACTGAACTTGACAGCCCATTTTTAAACAACCTAAATGATAACAGTTACTGAATAAAGACCAATAAAGCTGTCCCATTTAGGTAGACGAAGAAGGGCCACACTAGGCCAACAAGAAATTATTGATATTCAGACAAAGAAATGGAGTCCGCATCCAACAGCAAATCCACTGGATTACTTATCACAATCGAATGTATCAATCAACAGTTTGCCACGATATTATTCTCCACAACTTATAACTGTCGATCTGCAGCCAAATATTCATTTAGTCAGTTCAAATAGTAGTAACTACATTAATAGTGCATACTTAACTCATTGTGAATACTGTTTTGCAAAAAGGTATATGAATCTAGACTCAGCCAGCCCTCAAATATTTCACACCAATTTCACATTACCACATTTATCAGGGAATCCTTCAGTATTACCTGCCTGGACATCTCAAACAACTACAGAAACAATAAAGACGGATTTTGTGACAAGTCTATCTATCGATCATAATCAGCAGATAACGGCTGGAGATTTTACGTTAGTTGAACAACAGCAACAAAAACCAATAAACAATACTACTCTCGACATATCTATAAATCAGACTAGCAATTTTCCACATATTTGCCCTTTAACTCAGGGATTACCAGTTTTCCCCCAAATGACCCAGTCAATGAATTCAACTACAATGAACCCTGTACAAAAAAACGTTACCCCACCTAAATTACTGCCTCAGACTGAAGATTCTCATTCCACGGGATACATTCAGTCACCTGCATTGCCGCCTTTTGGACCTGTCCCTTCTATTCCCAATAAATCTGGAAATATTAATGTAAATTATCACAGTTCAGCTAAAACGCACAAAACTGAACCTACTGGATCTTCGATATTTCTAGATGGCCGGAGCTATGAACCTGCAGAGCTAATCAGTTTAATCCAGCGATTGCGGCAAGATATTCGAGCCTATACTGATCATATAAGATGGCTTGAACAAGAGTTGAGTGAAACACGAATCACACTCAATGCTCGAGATAGAGATATTGATAAGCTGAAGTCTGTATTAGAACAGAAACTTAATAATAATGTGGAAAAACTGCCTGTGCATACTATTACACCCTTGTCTGATAATTCATGTCAAGCAATCAGACAAAATAAACTCAATGTGACTGCTATTTCGCCAGCATCAAAACAATTCCTTTCCAGGAGAATACTGGTCAGAAAGGATATCCAGTGAAGCAACGGACTAAAAAGCAAGGAGTTTCAGGCGAAAGTTTTACTCAGCAAAGATTATCAGGTCTTGTACACCACGAAAAGGACGCATGGTAAGTAGTCCATAATTCATTAAATTTCTTCTATTTTATATGTAATACTAATAAAAAATACTTATAAAAAAAACCAGTATGAAATTATTTGTCATTGATGATTGACATTCAGATATCACTAGGTAATTCCTTAGCTAAGACTCACAACATTTAGATTCCACACTGATATATTCAATTATCAAAAACAAAGTTCATATAGCTATAAGATTACATCAATGAAGCATACGGGGAGGGCACTCTGGTGGCAAATTTTTATTCCGTAGTTTTTAAGTTTTTGCAGTTTTCAAATAAGAAATATAGTTGAAAATTGTTGTGTTCCCATGTCGCACACATCCACTGAATACATTTTGAATGCTAGAAAATAAACGGTTGACCAGCCACAGAAACTTGCATATACTATTTTTAACACATATATATTGAGCCACCGTTTGTTCTTTCTTCAGTTATTAAGACGGTCAACTAGACAGTAATTATAGTATACTATGTAGCCACTTGCATGCAATACGTGAAGTTGACTTTAAATATGTGAGTTTGGACTAGTGATTGGAAGGCGGTAGGCTGGGGTCCTGCTACAGCTCAGATTTTCACCTTACCTGGAGTCATCAAGCATTGCATCCGACAGTCTCACTAGCTATTAAGTTATGTATAACACTACTTGTGATACAACACTGATAGAGACTAAACAGGTACTGTAACCATGGCAGGTGTCGTTGGAGTAACCAGCGTATAAAAGATTATAGGCTTTTCTTACTGTGATTCTCTTACAAGGAAAAAGTCAATTTCCATTTTCATGTCAGATTTCTTTGCATGCTGACAGGACATTTAGATGCATAAGGCTTCAGTTGAATAGGGATTCAGATGTAATCATCCGAATACACGTGAACATATTCGAAATATCCCGAGTACCTACAAGCTTATATGAGTGTACACATCAAATGAATCTAAGATATTAGGTAGGTTGGAAAATAAAACACGCTAGGTAGTTCTTTATAGTGTGGCCCCATGAATTTGTGACCAATCTAGCTTGGTGTAAATATCGTATAACGAATACATTCCCATTCATTTACGAAGCTAGAATTCAGTATATCATTATATCTGATTTCGACTAATTGACTGCCGAAAATCTTCGTTGAAAACAATGAAGTCTCCCGCACAAACATAGCAACTGATATTAAATTTATTTTTCCAATTCGTCAATCACTTAGGAAAGAGTGAATTAGTAATAGTAATAATACTACTGGGGAGTTAAGATCTTTAAAAAAAAGCTTCTATCTGTATTAAATAATTAGTCTCTGCCAATTAAGTAATCAGTGATGGTAAAATTTTTACTAAAAAATGGGTAATCATAATAATTATAGTAACAATAATAATTGACTTTCTCTGTTTTGCTAGTTTAAAATTCCAAATGAATGAAAGGTTGCATTCAATTATAAAGGAATCTTAAATTAATTTGAAGTATTTATATGCACTTAAGTTGTTCCTGTTATTTACTGAAATTATACGAGAGACAGAAGAAAATATATATAAGCATGAAGTCCCATAGTGTTGACAATATGTTCTCTTTATTGATTTCTTTTTAATAATAGTAACAATAATAACGATAATAATTATTATTAAATAATATCATAATTATACACAGTATTATGCTGTCAATAACCAAGTGTTGAGCAATGATTAATTACCGTCACCTAAATGAATCAATAGTATACTCTTCGAAGTATCAGAGAAAGTAGTTTATCCACTAGTCTGATAACTACTGTCGTTCAAAGTATCACGAAGATTTACTGCACAGCCTATAATACTAATTAATCTTTCATTCTGGCTAAGTCAGTCAAACAGATTGGAATCTAAATTCTACACAATCCATTCACATTTGTCTTTTTTGTTCCAGGGGGTTAACAACACGTTAGATAAAGTCATTATACATATATAAGTAGTTTGTACTTCGCTATACAAGTATGTTGAAGACTTTCAAGCGAGAATGGCTTAGTGGTCTCCTTGGATTGGTCCACTTTCAACTGTCCTCTAGCTGATTGGTATATCTGATGAGGATTACACTGAGAGTAACAAGCACTAATTATTTAAAGAGGATCTAAGAATAAGAAGGGTGGTTGTTGACACTAATGTAGTTAATATAATCAGATAAAGACTATCGAAGTGAGCTGTGTTATAAAAATTGCTTTAACACACACACACACACAACGGGTGCTTACTTTTATGAATAACTATCATTCTTCCTGCCCTTCAATCCTCTGACATTACGTTCATTTTAATTGGGCTTCTATTTTTTCATTTTCGTGTAAATTGACTCGACAAGCATGTCAGGTTGTTCGAAGTGTATTGCGTCATCACTTTTTTCACATAAACTTCATCTTTCACTGACGCTATCTAAGTTACACCGTGTTTAGTTATTAGCATTGTTTCCAGTGCAGAACTTCAGCCAAATAATCTCATCATCCTGACCATTAACTAATTTTGCATTAGTTATGAGTCTGTTGATTACTGAAACTAAAGTTTGAACTTGGTTTATAGTTATGTTTTGCAGGTAATGTAGTAGGATCAGTATCTTGGTAATTCACAATTCAACTCTACATTCATTTGCCATCACCACTCTTCGTTTCTGATAACCATTTGTTGAGCAGTCTATCTCGATGCGTATATCAAGTAATTTTGTAAGCTGAAGTTACAGTGTCCCACCATTTTACTTAATCAAACACGAAATACTCATAGATAATGCATTGAAAAGTATTTAATCAGATTTACGTCACACAACCAAGTGGAAATGTTGCTCACTGACCAGCTAAACAATTGCTCACTAAGCAATAGGTGGTTTCATTTACTGAACTTTAAACAATTGTTGACTGCTATCAGCCTGCCATATTTCATGCTTGACTTATTGCCTATTGTGTGCATAAGCATACTGTTGCTAAGTTATTTTGTTGTCTTTGAAATAATGGAGAAAATTTACAGCTCAGGTGAATATTTTTCGTTCTGTTGTATTTCTTCAGCTGGTTTACCGTTAGTGCAGAATGAGCAGATGACTGGTTTCTAATGGTGTATAGCCGGAGACGAAATTAATTGTGTGCTTCTCTTACTATTTGGCTTTATTATATTTTTCCAGAAAGTGTGTTTTTAATTATTTGAGAAACAATTATATGGTTAAATAATTTTATGCAATAAGTAATAAACCTCGCCGGTAGTAAGACTGGGTAAGAGAGGAGGTCGAACCTGAGGTTAGCAACTCCACGCCGTAAGGAAGAATAACACCACTGCTTCTAAAACTTCAAAGCTTGAAGCTTTATGTTCTACTCGGAACGCAAAGGCATAAAACTAATTAATTAAAATAAGCAATATTAATACTAACAAAAGTAATAATAATATGGGTAGTGTGGTCGCTTCTTTCAATTCATTGCAAAGTTTCTTTTTCCACTAATTACCGCTATTGATTAACTGACATATATACATAGATAATGGACATTGTAAGACAAGATTCAAATTTACACCCTACGTAATTGCAGTTGGACTAATCAACAATAACTTCAAAACGAAGTGGTGGTGTAACAGCAGAAGGCAAGACACGCAAGCCATGGTGTCTTTTTCATCAATCAAACGGCTGTTTATATATCTAAAGTTTATATTCGTTGACCAGTCACTGAGCGTGTGATTTCGGTTCACGACAAACGACAAGCAATAGAATGTTCAGCTATGCATAGTATTCTATTGCTAATGCCGTACTGAGCTGTGATAATATATGAGAATAATATTCTGTTGGTACACATTGTCTGTATCACACAGTGGCACTGTATCTTCAAAACACAGCCTTTGCCTGAATGATTATTTCCTTGAAAAAGCTACAGTGTTAAAATACTTCCTGTATCAAACATTTAAAGTGTGTCTTCTGAAAGGTGTCAAAAATGCATTCCCACTTAAATTGTACGCTACTGAGAAGACAGTCTGATTTTGATCTCGTCCCGTATCCTGACCGTCTTCAAATTGATCCGTTTGTGGGATTGTGGTTGCCCACACTTCAAGTGTTTCAAGCTCGTTTTATAAAATGACTGTCTAGTTATTGTAAAAATATTACCTCAAATACAATTAATTACTTATCAAGAGTTAGTTTGTACTGTCAACGAGCTTGGCTGTATGACCTGGAGATCCTGTGTTAAAACCCAGTGTAGTTGTGGGGTGTGCTAATGAAGAGTTCAAAACTAGGACGAAACAGCTGTCCAGTACTCCCTGGTGTTCAATGATTCTCTAACTGACATCAATCCATGATTAGACTTGACATAATTAATTATTGTTAGTAAGTATAAGGGAGTAATAGAAGAGGCGTGTTAGAAGTCTTGATCTAAAACTAGGTGAATAGGGATAACTTATTAACAGTTAGTCTATAGGGAATTCATAATTGACCAGTGTCATGCAGCTAATATATACTAAAGTAATGCGACTCACGGAATAATAATAATCATAATAGTGCCTTATCTAACCTCATTCCAAAAAATAGAACAAAATAAACCACGTGAAGTCACGTTTTAGTTTGATTGTCAGAGGAATACGAAAACAGAATTCAAATCCGTATGACCTTGACCTGCTCTGTAATAGAAAAGAAAACACAGTTCGAAGACGTGAGAATGTAACTTGCCATCTTACCATATCTGACTAGTTTTTTGTTAACTTATTTCCTAAATAAGATAAGAAGTTTTGTTCAGTCATGTACGTTCATTAAAACCTGCGTCAAACATACTCCAATGATGACTAGTAATCATACGGAATAACACTCGTTATGGTTAGAGCTGCAGCGAAATCTGAATCAGTGACCTATTGGGATTTCAAAATGAGGATGTATTAATTCCGGTTTGCTTCTTTAACGGAATATGGGTTTTATCTTGCTGTATGATTGGACTTCAAGTAACTATTGATCTGTCGTCGTCACGTCACCTCCAGATCCAAATGGCGATTGTATTGGATCAAAGTGGAAAAGCACCTGAATAATTTAGGGT